TATATAGGTATGAGAAAATATTAGCAAATATCGGGTGATTTTTTTTATTTCTGCTCCAGTTACCCATGACGCTTACGTCAACAGTGAAATGTGTTAGGTTATTCAAAGTTGAAACCACAATGATTATAAAAATAATACAAAATCTTTTATTTATAACCATTTAAATCATGAACACCGCACTAATGCTACAATAGTTGTTGGAAATGTTGACCCTCACCCCTAGGCACAAATTGATTCTTCGTTTTGTACTCGAACAAGAACCTCTGTTTCGTTCACAGTCTTCTCGAAGTCGTCGATGGTATGCACAGATTGTTTGAAGATGGTGTTTCTCAACGTCGGAAACAACAAATAATCCAAGGGCGTCAAATCTGGTGATCGAGGTGGGTCGTCATAAAATTCTTAAAAAAATTTAACGTCGTTTGTGATGTGTGAGCTGTTGCGTCGTTATGTTGAAAATAGCCATTCTAGTTTCTCAGGATCGAGTTGATCAGTCAAATCCTGCAACATAAGTCTTCAAAGAAAATAAATAGGTCCATACAAGCGTGTCCTTGAAACAGTAACCCATACACCTTTTTGTTCTGCATGTGGAGGAGTTTCTTGAAAATAATGAGAAATTTCTCCACTTCACATTCGCATGTTTCGCGAATTCATGTACCCTGACGTTCCATTAAACCAGTCGCAATACGTCACTCTTGTCTCAATCTAGTGGTTAACCTTCTTGAAACTTCAACCCCAGGTCTTTCTTAATGATTTTTTGACAAATGCTGCATGATAAATCGACTTGCTGAGAAAATTTTCGTAAAGATTTACAGGGGTTATCTTCCATAACTTGTCCAATGTCTTGGACGTTCGTTTTGTTGATCTGCCAGTCCCTGATTTTCTTCCAACGCTTCCTGTGTCACGGAATAACTTAACGACATAACTCAGTGCATTTACAGAAGTTGATTCGACTGCAGCAACATCAGGAAATTCTCCACGAAATTCCAGGAAACAAGATCTGGCTTCATGCGCCCATTTACGGTTAAGTCGATGCCCATTGCGGAAGTAAGATTCCTACCATTCCAACATCAAATTTTTATGTTCTTTGGTGAACATTTTACTCAGGACAAAATTCTTCTTTAATTGATAAGACTAATAACAGAAATACACCAAGACGGCAAATAAGAAGTTAGGTTATTATGACACTGTTAGGCAACCCAAAATACATCCTTCGAACTCAAGAGACGCAACATGTTGCACAGCTGACGTAAGCGTCTGAGTAACTAGAGCAGAATTTTTTTTTAATCACCCGGTACAACCATATACCTCCTAAGGCGCTACGTGTGCTTACTTAACAAAGGTTTAGTGAAAGATAAACTAATAAATCAATGACCACAGATTTTCACATAATTAGAATTCATCATGGAAAATAATATTTAAATAATTTGATATAACATATAACCAACGATAATAAGAGCAAGTGAAAGAAACCTTGAAAACAATGGTTCATTTTTCTTTGGTAAAGGACTTCATGAATATCATATAACATATATCAGAAATCTACAATTACTAAAATCATTCCATAAAACTTAATATTGCCTTTTGTAAGCTGCGTTGATAACTTAATCCTAAATTATCATCAAGTATTCTAAACAATGTTTATTGAGAAATTTCTGAATACACATTGGAAGTTTTAATAACTCCATTTAAAAAATTCCATAGCAGCTTGTTCTGTCTTAATGAGAATTGCTGCAAAAACAACACCTTTCAAGATATTTCGAATTTACTTTTTATGAAGGAATGTGAGATCTTTAAGAATTAGTTTTAACCATGAATTTAACGAGGCACTTAATCAACATAAGACTTATGCATAAAAGAGTAAGGAATATGGAAAAAGATTCGAAGATGTCTTTTAATGTCTCATATAAGGTTTTTTCCTTTCTTCGCTTGATATGGTATTCAGCTGTACAGCAGTTATTCCAAAAGCATTAAGAATAACAGAATTTTGTAAATTCTCTTTGCACACCTATCAACATTCCAATCACCTTCACATCTCCACAGATGTTGCATAGATATATTCATTTACCTCGAATTAAACTTTTACGTCCTAGGAAGTGTCTTTAAGTGTATCGAATGAGCATCAGGAAGGGAATATTTTGAATTTTCTTTACGAAGAACTGCGTTTAAAGCCACTGTTGTTTTAATTTCCGAAATGATGCAACAAGCTTACAAAAAATAAAATTTGTGTAGTAAAATGCCGTCCCGGGCATAGTCTTTATTTGCTTAACCTGCTTGATTCAAAAGACTGCTTAACACGTAACAAAGGCCACACGACAGTATTTTTTTTTTATAAAAAATCTGATAACTTGTGCCTGGAGCTACCTACTTCAGGTATTTGTGCTATGTATAATATCATTACGTAAGAATAAAATACAAGTAGAACGTATAATACGTCTATATTTAACTACTATTTTTTGTTTTTTCATAAAAAAGGCACGTGTGATCATCAAAACACAAGTAAAGTTGTGATCAAAATAAAAGAAAGTTAAAGTTTACTTTTTTGTGTTAACTTTAAAAATAAAACACATAGTATTTGTTGCTAGTAGCTGCAGATTTTGTTACGCTTGAGCCCAGATTGTGCCAAACATTTTAGTAGTTCTCTTTCCTGGTTGGCTACTATTTGAGTACGTTTTACAAGGCACAGTTTTAGCAAATCGAAATCGCTTGGAAAGTTATTGATGTGCAACAGTTCAAATTAAATTTGAACTGCGATAATATTGACTGTGAACAGCTAACTAACACTGTCGATGCGTTCATAACTGAAAAACAATGGCGATGTATTCACCTTGTATGTGGATGCAAAACATCTAACGGTTATTGTGGAAAGAATTTAGGTTTTGGTAGTTTTTTCCGACCCACCTGCTATTATTAGATAATTGTTGTTACTCCGCGTTACATAAACAACATTTTGCATATTTTAATAATTGAAGGTTAATTTATAGCATTACCTTCTAGAACTATAGCAGTAAATTAAACAGAAGCTATCAAGAAAGAATAATTGTCTTCGTCTTATTAAGATTAGCCTTGCCTTAGGTCAAAAATATTGAAAACACATTTTTCATTGCTTTCGAGTTATTGATGTTACTATACATTGTCGTCGCAATTCCAGTGAGAGCGTAACTTAACCGGTTGCATTATTTAGGAAAATTTATTTTTTGAAAAGTCATCTCGCTGTTCAACAGCTTGTTTATTTCAGAATTAATTACCATTTAACAATTACTTACGCTTTGTTAAAGAGTGAAGTAAAAGAGGCGTATCGCATGTTATGTTCCTTGATAGATTATAAGATGTCGACCTTGCATGTAAGAAAAAATCGAATGCGTTTGCAACAACAATCGCCAATGAGTGGGAGGTTGGTGGCGCTATAGTGCGTGAGTATATTCGTATTCGTTTTCATTGTTTCTGAGTAAATAATAAAACGTAAAGTTTTACAGAAAATATGTATACAAGAAGTTTTAATTTAAATTTTATTTTATTTTCATAGAGCGTCGGATGTCGTAATTTGTTGCGTCTCTCGATGGACTCGATTACTGCACTTCCTTACCTTATACGGTCAATAGGTAAAAATGCCCTCTCAGCAACAACATGGACTCTCAACAACTTGAAGGGTTTATGTTTATACGTCGGAAGAATATCACGTAGAAATTAGTTTGTCGCCTCAAAACAGAGGATTAAAATTATTAATTAAACCACAATCGAATAAAATGTTCTGAATATTATTTTTATAGCTCTTATTGAATTATTATTAAATAAACACGTGCGTATTATGATATTTTCGAGAAAATGAAGTGATTCGGTTTTCATTTGAGCAATAAAACTGCACTACTGAATGCTTACAATGCTTTTCATAATGGTTGTACTAACACAAACCAAACAAAAGAGAAAAAAGTAGCTAAATTTGCACAAATGTTGCTTAAATGAAAATGGAAAAGAGGGAAGAAAAAAATCTGAATTGTTTAAAAGATTAAGAAATTAATTTAGTTTTCTTTGTAAGCGCAGTTACAGTCACCTGTTTTGCGCCATTTATACGCCATTAAAATTTATCGCCGGTGTTTTAAATTTAATTTGAACTACTTTCTATTTCTACGATACGATAAGTCGTATTTAACTTCTCGCTTTTTATGAATATTTAGTTAGCCTTTCGAGTTAAGTCTCGTTCACCTCAAATAATTACAAATTCCCAAAATAATGGCTCGTACAAATTTAACCAGTGGGATAAAAATATTGGATTTTTTGGGAGAAATGTGCTCACAACCGACAAAATTTCACTACTTCAGACTTCTTGAGGCTTAAAACAAGAAATAATTCTTATTAAGACACGCGCAGGCGTAATAAAACCTAAATACAAAATGAAATAAATCATAGAGTACCAATAATAATCAAGAACTGTGTCAATTCTTTTTGAAAAATGTAATTCTTTAAGAATGTAGCACATACTCACTTTCAAAGTAATCTTAACAGATAATTATAGCACAAATTTAAGTGTGTTATTTTTTATTGTACTGTTTATTATTTTATAAATGTAATCAGATGAAATTATATTACATATAAAATTTGACAAAAATCGGTTAGGTAGTTTGAGAAATTATCTGTCTCACAAAAGTTGACACATGCGATGGACGGACAGACAGACGGACGGAAACGGAAGATCCATTCTTTCGTATTGTAGGGGTCAACGGTCTCGATTACAGTACTTCCTTGGCTTACGCTCAGGAAATAAAAACCTATTTTTTTACAGCAAATTTTGTATATTCGTATATTGTGGAAACAAATATTCCTTTCAAAAAAATGTAGGTTTACTTCTATTTAAAACTAAAGTTCTCTTCACGCCCATTGAAACCGAATTAATAGGATCTAATATACTATATCTGCTTATGAATCAATCAAAGAAACTTCTTATCTACATAACTATTACTTTTCTACTTTTCACTATCATTTACTGAAATACTTCTTCGTTTCAGATTTTTTTCGGTACGAGGATGGCAACCGAAGGCCTGCCGCTTGTTCGACAGGAGCGCGGTGCCGAAGACAGAGGTCTTCTAGCAGGAGCCGATTTCCTCTCCGTATTCATGAGTTCGTCCCTTCGTCAAGCCTACCGAGAAACCACCACATCGACCACCACCCAACCAACGACCATCCCCACAACTTGGGAGCCAGACGACAACTCCTTCAGTCGTGCAACTCGAAGCACCTCACTTCTAACGTCATCACCGATTGCTCAATCTAACACGGAAGAAACTAGTTTTTATGACACGACTCTAAGTGCTCAATTACAAAAACTCGAACATTCCAGTGACTCTAGTGTGAACGATGGTGTTGTCGTTGCCGTGAGCGTTTCGTCTTCTATAGGTAGGACACTAATTAATAAAGAAAATACGGATGAACAAATTGAAGATACCACGATTAGGGAAAGTGCAACCGAGACGACGGAGTTTTCTGATCAGAATTTTGTGGCTTCTGAGGAACACCCTAGTATAGTAGCTGAAGCGAACAAGAGCGAATTTAGCGTTGAAGAGAGTGAACCGATTACGACCAACAGGGAGCCGACTGGGGATTTTGCGAGGGGTTACCCGGCAAGTGTACATCCGTTGCCGAGGCATCAAAGTTCGTTTAATCCGACTTCTGATTTTATAAATCAGCAGTTAAATGAAAATGCGAGTAAAGGGAAACTGCAACCAATTCACCAAACAGTCATTTACCACAACAATCCCAGAGAGCCAGGAAGGGCTAGATCCGTCTCTTATAGTACTGTCATCCAGTCAGTGCCCAACCCAAATGCTGAGAAGGAGTGGGAAAACGATAAGCATGACAGACATGAACGACACTTTGACGGTAGTCAGACTACTTTTAATAACAATTTCAATAATGAAGCTGATAGAACCAATCTCAACAATACTCAAACCACCGACCTGAGCACCAAGGCTGATCTCAACTGGCAGAAATCTACAAATACTCAAACTTCTGATGCGTCTACAAACAAAAATAGTTTTACCACTGAACGCAACTGGGAAATTCAAGAAAAACCATACACACAAGCACTACCTACGGTTTATGGCAAACCAGAACAGAACTATGAGATAGATGAATCAGCAAGCGTGATGACCAACGGTCGTATTCATGGAATACAACCAACTCCCACTCTTCCCTCCAAACAAGAAATTAAAATTGGCGAAAGTAGAAAAGTAGATGATAATCAAAAAGTCGGCTATGTCGTTGAAGGACGAAATTATAGAAAATATAGAGTGGAAGAAAGAACGTCGGATGGGTTCATTGTAGGTGAATATGGTGTTGTTAGTCACGATGATGGATCACTGCGAGGAGTACGCTATACCGCAGATGGAACGATAAGCCCTAGGTTAATATATGATGCTCTGATGAAGTTCTTGTCTTTGTGATCGAAACACGGTGCCTAATTTGCAATACTTGCCTTCGTACTGATTTAATCTAGTTCCTCCGTATAAACTCGGTCTTATTTCATAGTTAAACGAGACTTGAGTGATGAAGTGAGCGTAAACTGTATGTAGCAGCAAATTTAAATTTACGTGCTAATTTTAAAGTTGGCAGGCTTTTAACAATAATCGACTATTTGCTCATAACTACCTATTTAATTAATTAGTTCATTGACGACATGTTTTTGTATTTAACTGTAACGAAATTTTGTAATTTAAGTAATAAAATTTTTATGAAATGATTTATTTTTTATTATTATTAAAATGAAAGACTAGTGTAGGTACGAGTAACTGCACCGATTTGCATTCATAACCTCTGTGAATGAATGAAATGTCATGTTGTGAAAATAGACGAATTAGAATCAATACCAACTACTTATTTATAGAAGCAGCTATTAGGGATGCCACGTTTAATTTTACAATCCCTCTGGAACCCTTGTTTTTTTAAATACTCACCACAGAATCACAAATTTGACTATACTCTTTTGTCTTTGAATGGAATATACACAAATAGCTATGCTTATGCAACCCATTTTACACATACACCAAGTAATCTCGAACCTATCTATCTTGATCTTGTCATTGCATTATTGGTGTAAGAAAAAATAACTGTCACTGTTAAAATATTTGTGTTAATGATCTAATATGTTCTTATTATGTTATTTTTAACACAATTCACTGCGACAATAATCTTTGAAATGGACACATTAACATTTGTTCAAAAATAGGATATATAAATTTAACCGGTTCAGGTGGTATTAACCTTGAACATTTTTACAATGTGCACTTGCGAAAACCATATTAAACCGATAAGTTTCGAATGTAAAAATGACGTAATAAGTTTGTTCTGAAAAAATTCACGAACTCTGCAGGGTATTCACGACCAAGTGATATATAGCAAATAACTAACATATCCACAAAAATAGACATTCATTATGGCTAAGATGTTTCTTATGTAAAAATTCAACTAAACTACAAAAAGATTCCACTCTAAAACAAATTAGTTGATTATGACATCAGGTTGTTTTCACTCACTGGACATAGAATGTTAATATTACAATAAACAAATTTCGGAACAAGATACAAACCAGAGATAAAAATGCAAATGTACTTTTTACGGTTTACACAATTATGATAATAACTGTAATACATTATTTTGTGTGCCGTTATCTGATTTATTGGAGATTAATTTTAGTAATAAAAAACTTTATTTAGTGGTTCAGCTAAGTTTTCTTTTTCTGGCCTAGTTGCCACAAAAGATGCTTATCTGGTAATAACCTTCAGCAAATTTCAAAATTAACTTCTGGTATGTGTATACTTACCAATTTTTGCTGCACGATTGCTTAAGAAAAACTTTTATTGTTTTATAATTTTGTAGTGCGTCCTTGCAAGGTTGTTATCTGTCTGTGTGAACGAAAGAGTAAGAGCGACTAATTTATTTTCGTAACTGTAGTGTAACAGTTTATTTAACACTACAGTCTAATAATTATGTGACAAATCGTAACTATTTGTTATATAAGTTCCTTTTTAAATTGGCCGGTAGAGCACAATCTAAATATACTAATATTGTCCCTGTTCTAGATAAAATAGGTAAGTAAATTGTGTTCATTTTCAATTTACGGTACCAGATAGTATACTTCCAGTAAATACTTAAGTATTATTTGTTTGTTGTGTGTGCAATTTGGGTCTTCATTAGTAGGATTCTAGGATTTATTTAAAATTTTATTATGATGTATTGGCTAGACACGTTTTCTCAGATTTAATGATTGTTAGAACATTAAAAAGAAAACGCTTTGCATATTAAAATTAATCGCAAAGAGCAGAGAATGTCCCATTGTCTTTACGCCCAAAGAAGCTGTTGAAGGAAGGTGATTTGTGGGCATAGTTTATTCTATTACAGCATGGTTAAAAATAAAATTTCTTTAGGTTAATGGATTCGTCTCGAAAACTAATAATAAAGTCTAAACTGATTTGTTGTATGGGAAACTAACAAAGTGAGAAACAACGTGATAATAAAATTCACCAAAGTTATTATAAAAAAAATACAAAATTCTTACAAGTTCCTTGTTTTGAAAATGTGTACAGTTCAGAGAAACTTCGTTAATAAATTACCAACATATACAGTTTTTTTTTTTTTTTTTTTGGAAACTGAACTACTCTAACAGCAATAAGTAACAACAGTAGTAACATTTCGTAATGCTTAATATCCGTTTTCTTGGTGTTTCATACCTCATAGAAACAAAGGAAGATTTTTCGTTCTGTCTGTTTGTTTAGGTCTTCAAAACTAGGGTATTAATTACCATGAAATTTTAAACACACATTATCATTAATATATGTATATAAAGTATGGTTCATTTCTAACGGAAAATTTTCTATTAATTCATTCCAACAAAATGATGACGTCATCTCAAAATATTGTTTAATATATCTCGCTCGAAACAAACAGTCTCTACTATTCAGGCTATAAAAATACACAATTAAGTTCAACTCACACAATGAGGTTATTTAACAAGCAATGACGTTATATTTTAAAGCGTTCCCATAAATGATTCTAGTATCAAGGTGGCTTCTAAATGTCAAAAAATATGTCTCACCATGCCAACAATAAAGCCGCAAAATAATCGGCAAAGGACATTCCAGAGCCACCCTTGATATCAGAATCATTTGTATAATTTGTAATTTAAATTGTTCCTAATACTACTATCAATATTGGCTTCACTCAAAAACCCAAAGCTCAAAAAATATGACATAATCAGTATTTAAGTGTTTTTCAAATCCCGTCAACAACTTGTCTAAAATAAAATGTATTTACCGTTCCGCAGATACCAAACATATCTTAGCAGTTTTTTACAACATTTTAAGTTCGTTAGATTTTTTAGATTCGTTGTAAAATTTGATTTATGCAAATTTTATTTTTTCTGTTCGTTTTTCACACTGACATCTGTATATTTCTTTAAATTTTAAATCGATAAAAAATAAACCTTATTTATTAGCAAACAAATTTGAAATTCAGCACAGGCTCATAAGCCTAAGACGAATTTTAACTTTTTTAATATACTTTAAAAACAATTTAAAATTTTAATTGTTCTTCCGAAGGTGAATTTTTTTAATCGAAATCGAATTTTATATTTCCTAAAAACAGAACAGAATCCTTATAATTTGGACTTGTTTAAAAACAGGGTAAAATCGTTCAAAATGTTACTTTTTTAAATCCTTGAAATATTTGCTTTTTTAAATATACCTTTAAAAAGAGGGTAAAATCCTTAAAAAAGCAAAGTGTTCCTAAGGAACGCTCCTAGCAATGTACAAATATACAGACCTTGTTTAGCCATCGCTGTCAAACTGGACAAGGAACACGTGGGTGTTGCCAACATATTTTTTTTAAGATTAAATTTCAAAGGTTGCTAGACCACTTTGTCTCAGAAACATTAATTTATGAATCGATTGTTTTATTCAGTGAGGAATCTTAATAAAGGTCCTCGCAATTTCCTTAAAATTTTGAAAATAAATAAGTGCTACATTGTAACGGATGCTCAAAAAGTTTTCAGATTAGGTTAGGCTATGGAAATAGTTTTCATTCTTTGGAATTAAACGAATTTTTAATGAACTTTTTGCTGCTCTGGAATCGTTTTTTGCAGTTTTCGCCCCTGTACTCTATGCAACCCACTATTCATGAGTCGGAAAACAAACTTTATTAATCTTATTCGATTTATTAATTTGACAACTTTGACGCGTAAGCTTTCAGCAAAGAAAAAAAATATTTCCATGGTCTATCACCACCGCTTGTATTTATTAAAAAAAACTCCTTCGAGCCGGATTTGAACCAGCGACCTATGGATAGCTACATTTTGATGCCTCTACAGTCCACCGCTCTACCAACTGAGCTATCGAAGGCTGCGCGTGAAGTAAATGATATTAACGGCGCCTTACAATTTTCAGAATTTCATTTTTATGACAACAATAAAATAAAAAAAATTCCTTCGAGCCGGATTTGAACCAGCGACCTATGGATAGCTACATTTGAATACCACTACAGTCCACCGCTCTACCAACTGAGCTACCGAAGGCTGCGCATGAAGTAAATGATATTAATGGCGCTTTACAATTTTCAGAATTTCATTTTTATGACAACAATAAAATAAAAAAAATTCCTTTGAGCCGGATTTGAACCAGCGACCTATGGATAGCTACATTTTAATGCCTCTACAGTCCACCGCTCTACCAACTGAGCTATCGAAGGCTTGCACATGTAAATAAACCGGATTAACGGCGACTTAACGATTTTCAGAATTTAATTTTTATGAAGAGAAAAAGCAAAAAACTCCTTCGAGCCGGATTTGAACCAGCGACCTATGGATGGCTACTTTCTTACGCTACTACAGTCCACCGCTCTACCAACTGAGCTATCGAAGGCTTGTTTGAATGAATAAATAATATGAACGGGGACCTACAATTCCACTAATTTAATTTTTATAAATCAATGATAAGAGAAGAAAAAAAAATTCCTTCGAGCCGGATTTGAACCAGCGACCTATGGATATCTACATTTTATGCCTCTACAGTCCACCGCTCTACCAACTGAGCTATCGAAGGTTCTTGGAACACGAGGTTTGAGTTTTAAAAACCGCACCACAATAAATGCGACCTTAATTTTATGTTTATTGTGATAAGATGCGACTTACTATATTTATACTCATGGTGTAAAAAACTTAATAAATTTCTGTCTCAACTAATTCAAATAAACAATATCAATCATTTGCATAAAAAGTTAAAAAATTGTTACAATACATGAATGGTTTGTAACAAAATAAGTGAGTTTCGATGATAAATTACGTACAAAAAATATGTTTATTAGAGTTTTAAACCTTCCATTAATTACATTATTACTTCATTTTAGTACGAATATTATTTCATGTTCACTAAAAAGAAACTAATCAACAAGGTTATTTACCTATATATTTATAACAAAGCATGTAAGATTGCATAAAACAAACAATTATTTGCCGTATAATACGTTACGAACGATTACGTTACTTTTAATTTCGTGATATACACCTTTATTACAGATTTGTTATGTTGGTTGCCTAAAACATAGTTTTATCTATGAAGATCTACTACAGTTGAAGACTATTTCATATTTATAAGTCTCCGAAATTCTTGTACATAGTATTATGTAATGGAAATTATAGAGCCGTTGTTAAAAAAACTATTACACTATAAACAGAGTAGTTTAAATTGAAAT